AGCAATGACAATTCAAATCTGTCTGTTAGCTACATTCGTTGTTTACTGCAATCGTCTCTCTCTGTCAGCTGTCTAGATTAGATCTAGATATCTAGAATCTAGATCTAACCGTCGCAGTCATCTCGTTTTATTAGATCCAACACTTCGACCGTTGTAACAGATCTTACCAGGAAGACACAGCAACGTATTAATTTAAGCATGCCTGGCCAAAATTCAAATAATACAAAAGAGTCAGTCTCGAGGATTAACAGAGACATACAGAGTGAGACAGAGTGACAGACAGAGCGACAAAGACAGAGAGAGAGAGAGAGAGAGACATAGAGACACGTAGAGAGAGAAAAGGGAGGGGAGGGGGGGGTGCTCTAGACCATGTCAAAAAACCTATTGTGTTTAAAATATGTGTTGAATTTGAACTCTCTATTGTTATAATTAAAAGCGCTATTTTGATATTTGAGCTTCCTAGTGTTACATTTATTGCTTCCTCTATTTTGATGCTTGAACTTTCTATGTTGAATTAGATTTGACAATGCTGAATAAATTTTGCTACACTTCATTCAAACGCTCTATTTTGATATTTGATCGTGAAAAGGGGTAAAAGAAATGATACTATACCTGATGTTGATATCTCATTTTATCTCAAATGACCATTACATAATCTTTCAGGCGGTGTGGATTACTGCAACCTTGCCCTAGATCTATGTTATTTTGTAGTACTTTATCTTATCACTTATCATATTATTGTATTATAATAAAAGAAAATATCTATCTCCAATGAGCACACGCAAATTGTAAGATCACGCAGCGGTAGATATTTACCTCCAGAAACAAAGAAAGAAAGTTATAAAAGAAGATTTTTTACCATAGGGGAATATAGCATAAGGCTATTGTCAGAATAAGCATAGATGTGTGTTGCTCTTTAGAGTATGTATATATATAACTCCAAAGGTCTTGTACTGAAATACCTGCATGTGGTTGAATGATGCATCTGGTGGGAACGTACATTTTGTCAGCTTTACTTCTCTTTTCATGTTGAAGTTTAATGAGAGTAATGATATATAATTTACATTTTTTATGTATACCTACATGTGTTTTTACGGTCCTGTACAGTCAAGAAAAATTCCCCTCTAGGATAATAAAGTGTTATCTTATCTTATCTTATCTTATCTTAGTGGGTGGTTGGCGGGTGCCCTGTGGTGTGGTTTGCTTCTTCTTTCCTATCAAACATCTATCGTCCTTTACCCCCCTTCTTCTTTTCTATGTTTGTTACTCTATTGTAACACCTCTAATCTTCTGGTGGTCATATAACCTTAGCAGTTGCGAGCGCCGTAAAACATCTACTAAAACTTTTTTTAAAACTATTCTTTCTTATCTTATCTTACCCTATGTTTCAGGCTGTATGGATCACGGCCACCCTTCCCTACGTGGTTCTCCTGATTCTCCTGTGTAAGGGCTGCACTCTGCCAGGGGCTGGCGATGGTATTGTCTACTACCTGAGTCCTCAGTGGGAGAAACTGTTGAACCTGGAGGTGGGTCACACAGACAGACAGACAGACACACACACACACAGACACACACACACACACACACACACACACAGACGG